CCCATGGCAGCCATCGTGAATGACCGAAAATTTTCTACTGAGTTAGGAAACTGCTTCTGAATTCTTCTCAGCAAAGTATCATGGGCAGCCACTACCCATCAACTGGAGTTGGCTGTCAAAGGAAAACCTCCCTGCTATCTTTGAGCAAGAACGCCTTGAAGGGTCATTTTAATTTTACTGTTACTCGAAGGCCAGAGTGAGAGTACATGGTATGTCAAATGCTGGAAAACAAATATCCCGGCAAATCTTACTTCCCTTTTTCACATTCCAGCCTCTAAAAATGTTAAAGAAGGCCTGTGAGTTTGCAAATGAATTCATACATTTACCATGACTTGTCTGTGGGGATTCTCCGTTCTTCCATCAGTACATCTTGCTTTTTATTTGTCCAAAATGAATGAAATTTAACTGATTTCTCCCCAATTCTAAAAATGCTTGCTGTAAAAATCTGAGCAATGAAGTAAAGTACAAAGAGGAAAGTGAAAATGACCTGATATTTGATGCCCCTTATTAATATTTGGTAACCGGCCTTGCAGACACAGCTCTAGGTATAAGTGTTTTTCTGTACTCTGTTTATTTTCCCCATACGGCAATGCTATGTATGGGCAACTTTGCATATCACTCCAAAGCCACAGTTCTTGTTTTACTCAATGTCCTCATAAACTTCCATCTTTGCTGGGGACTCCGATTCTGCCGAGTGAAACTTTACAAATGTAGGAGTAGATTGAAACGGCAAAGGATTTTTAGACCCTTACCAAAACCACACTTAAAGATGTGGCCAAATTCTCCAGGTTTCATTCTAGTAGATACAGAATGGAAAGATGTGCAAAGCTTGTAATGAAAATTCAATTTGAAAATGAAGTTGACCCTGCAGCTTGTACAAAAGCCAGCGTTCCTCCCATATCCCCATGTACCACACTCCCACATTTTTTGCTTATTATAAAAGGCATATGTGTTTATTTAGGACAATACAGACAGGCAAAATGAGAAAAATAAAACCACCACTAATTGGAATAATTATGGTTAATGTTTTGATCATATCTGTTCAGTCTTTTTTTTCCCTGTGCATGCATATTTATATAGGTGTCAACACATGTTATTCAAACCACTCTTTTAAACTTCTGGATTTTTCTCTTTGTGCACTGCATTGCAGTTCTTACAGACTGCTGTTTGTATTACAAGCAGGAAATTACGAGTTAAAACTGGCTTTGGAGATTTACAGCTTTGTATCCGTAGTTGGCATAGTGAGGTGTGCACACCAAGGAACCAAGGTTATGGGTGTGTTTTGAAATTAACACACCAATTATTCTGAACACTGCTATCCTGGAGTTCAGTTTATCCACTGGGCATGCTGCTCTTGAAGTTCAAATTCCTCAACAGATATTCAAAAAGTATCTTACATAACTGGTCTAAATTAGGTCATGTTAGGTGCAGAATCTCTGTATGCATTTCTATACCTCCACCTACTTAATTGATGAAATGCCTGAATTCCTTAAAGGTATTTGATAAGGAGACTGTCTCCTCATCATTCATGTAATGGTATGAGACTGTTGCATGCTGTGATGAGGTAATTTACTTTGTAGCAACAAGCGTATATTATAGGGAAGATAACATCCTTATTCACAGGGAGGTCAATTTGCTCCTGAGGGTTTGAGACTCTATTAAATTGCAAGGTACCATCCCTGTATGTATTCCCAATGATGGTTAACGAACAAAAAGCAGCCTGGAGAAATTTTACCCTTGATATTCCATATATGGTGTTTTGGTTATCAACTGATAACCAGTATGCTGTATTGGTTATCCACACCAAAACTTAGAGGCTAAAAACAATTTATTCTGATCTCTCACAATTCTTTATGCTGACTAGGCCCAGCCAGGCAGGTCTTGCTTGGAGTCTCCTCCACATCTGGTTGCAGTCAGACAGCATCTGGGCCTGGGGTCGTCGGGGGCATGACTAGGTATGCTGGAAGGTCCAAGATGGTTTCTTCACTCACACGTCTGGTGACTGTTCACATAGCTCCTCTCTCCCCTTGGAGTCTCATCCCCCAGGGCTACCTTGCATGCCCTCTCCTCTCACGAAGATTTCCGACTTCTTACATGATGGCTGACTTCTAAGAGCATAAAATTAAATGCAGTCATACCTTTTCAAGGTGGAGACCAGATGTTGTGTCACTTCCAGCCTCCATTCATGAGTGAAAGCAAGGCACAGGGCCACCGCTGGTTCAGTGTCAGGGAAGTACATAACTATCAGGGAAGGGGTGATTCACTGGGTGCCATCTCTGAAAATAGCTATCCGATATGCTCCAACTGACCAAACTGGACACATTAAGAATTTCAACTATAATTCCAACAGAGTCTGGATATTTTCTGGCTCAAACACAGAGTACAATTAAGGGGAAGTGAAGAGAAGAGAAAAGAAACCTCGAGGTGATAAAGAGTTTTGAAATGTGGGTATTTCTTTGGCCTTGCAAACTTGGCAGCTTAGATCACAGACAAGAAGGTGAAATAAACAGGTCATTGCATTACCATTATCCAAACTCTGTGTGCTCAGAAGGCTTACTTCATGATGGCTATTTTTTATGATAACTCTAGAGCAAATATTTCAGTTCTGACACATTTCAAGCATATATGGTGGATTGTCTTTCCAAACACAGCCAAGAATTCAGACATCAATGGAAACTTAGAAGATTAGTAGCATGTGAAACAATGTGGGCGGGGGATAGTAGCTGGGAGGGCCTGGCAGTAAAAAGGATGCCCAGGGCACCAGAACAAGGGAGGTAAACCAGCACCATCTTCCCTGTTCCTTTGGAGCTTCTCAGCGCGCAGTGGCCATGCCTGCACAGCACACTGTGTAAGTTTGGAGTACAAGGCCTAAGTTCCCACGTGAAGATAATCTCATTTCAGTGTCTGCAAAGACTGGAAGTCTGCTTGCCATGAGTGGTCTGAGACCAGGGTTCCCCACCACCCGCCTCTTTTTTTGTGCTGAACTACCATTCAATGCCAAACAGTTTTTTCCTTAGTGTTTATTTTTCTTAAACATGTTCAGACTGTTATGATATTGTTCTACTCCCTTTGAAAATATGTACTCTGCAGGTGCCTGAAATAATATACTCCCAGCAACTACAGTTTTGTCAAAGTAAAGGTTATTTCATTCAGTCTAAACTCAGTGGATATCTGTTGCTTAACAAGGAAATCCCAAACATTTTACAAACTCCTTGAGGACAGCTGGCTATTTCATACACAACTTTGCTATTTCCTCCCTCCTGGACTCATTGTCTGCCTTCTCAGATGTAGTAGGTGTAATAAGTAACTCGAATTGTTAACAATATACTCTCTGCCCTTCTTTGAATGTTCCTGTCAGGTCATTGTAAATAATATCTCCTAAGGCTTCTTTTTCAGTCTGCAGATCATTTTACAGGCTTTTCACATAACAGCTGAAAGGGTTTAATTCAAATTGAAGAAACTTGCTTCAAACGCAAGTGATTAACTTAGGCTTCATTTACCTCAAGGAATACTTGAACGTTTAAATTTACAGATAAATCCTGGGAGTGTCAAATTATGCAACCAAGGGAAAGTCTGAGTTCTTTGGGTGTTGATCTGCTATAATCAGGTGTGTGAGAAAAGAGATTTTTTTTGAATGAAATAATAGTAAAACCACTGCAGGCACTACATCCCCTGTTTTTTCATAATTTCAAACCAGGCTTGCTCAAGAGTTAGACTGTCAAAACATAAGAGAAAAAAACCAAATTTATCTATTCTTTTAAAAATCTTTATGATTCAGGGGCGGGGGAGGCTGGGATGGGAAAAATAGACAAAAAACTGTACTTGAAAAATAACTAAATAAAATTTTAAAAAATATGTATGTAAAAAAATCTTTGATTTCACAATATTCCTGTTTTCAAGAATTTGATGTTTTCTGTGAGCAATGATTAATTTTAAGTACTTGTTTTTAATGTAAAACATAATGTATATTCATTGTAAATTGAAAAAGATGCTTAAATCAACAGAAAGATAAAAATTACTTATGATCCTACAACTATTAATATTTGGTGAACAACATTCAATTTTTTTCCCTGGGCACATGTTTTTACGGAACGGATCCGTGCTATATAAACTATTTTATAACTTGGCTTTTCTCATTTTTATTTTTAAAAGCATACCGCAAGTACGTGAAAAGAAACTTTTAAAGATTATGGCATGTCGTAGTACTTCACAGTGTTAAAGGACGCCATCTCTAGTACTGTATGTGCGCTTTGGCAGGAAAAGAAAGGTCTCAGTGGGCTGTAGTGACTACCGTGCAACCAAGAGACTTCTTCGTTTGCCCTTGGCGTCCTGAGCCTAGCCTATCCAAAGTGAAAGCGTGTGGGAGTAGGTGGAGGGCATTTAGAGTGATTACAAGCACGAGCTCCCCGCGCGGTCCACACTTCCCCTGGGCAAGTCCCACTGGCCCCAACCGGTGAGGGGACCGAGGGCAAGAGGGCAGTTTGCGGTGCGCACAGCCGGTCCGAGACATTACCCCCCGCCCCAGAGCTGGCGCCACTCTCAGATGGTGGGTGAGATAAAGCAGGGCAAGGTTCTGCAACTCCAAACCGGGAGGCGCAGCTCCGATACAGGCGCCTTTGCCGGGTCTCCAGCCGTGTTTGTTCCAAGTGTTTAAAGTGTTTCAAAGCGCTTGAACCCAAGACACCTTCGGCAAACAATTCCTAATCTCTCGGGCGGAGAGCGTTAGTTTTATTTGCGACGAGGGCAAATTGAGCGCGGGGACCTGGTGGCTCGGGCAGCCCTCCTCCGGGTACTCCGCCTGTCCGCGGGCGTCCACCACCGCCCACTTGGGATCCCAGCCAAGACCCTTTCCAGCCCCGGGACCGTGAACTCCTCGCATCAGGTCGAGCGTGGGCGGGGTATTTTCGGCAGCCCTCCCCGAGAGGCCAGTCTGAGAAGGACAGGCCAGGGCTTTTGCCCCGCCCTCCAGGGGCGGAGGGCAGGAGGCGTGGCGGGGCTGGAGCCCAGTAGGCGATTAGGGCCTTGTAGCCAAGGAAAGAGTGCTGGGGAGCCGGTACGAGTCGCCGCCGTCAGCGCCTCCTGGTCCACACCGTGCTTGGGCAGCTGAGACAGGACTGCCGTCGGAGAGCCTCAGAGCACCATCCCCAGCTCAGCATGATGGACTTGGAGCTGCCGCCACCGGGACTGCCATCCCAGCAGGTGCTGCCCCAGCCCTCTCGGTCCCATTGTAGTACCAAGACGGGGGCAGGGGCACGAGGGAGCTGTAGTCCAGGAGGGACAGCAGCCACTGGCATCTCACCGTCTGTGGCCGGAGCCTGGACTGCAGCGGCTGCCGCTGCGTACTGGAGCCGCGGGGCGGGGAGGGATGGAGGAGCAGGAACCCAAGGGGCCGTGAGGGTAGTGGGGGCATTCCTGGGTGGTCCCATCGTCAAGGTGCCTGCCGTCCCAGAGGAAGACTGGCTGGGGGTTTGCAGAATACACTCGCATGTGTGGGGCGAGTGGTGCATCTCTCGTTGCGTCCCGGGCGGCCAGGTTGGAACGCAGAAACCCCATCCAGCCCCCTGTGTTTGAGCCGCTCCCAAGGCTACGGGGCGGAGGGGGCAGACGCCGGCGGTCTGAGCCGGCGCGGGCCGGCACTTCCGGGGCAGAGCGGTTCCCCGCCTGGGAGCCGGCAAGAATGTGCCTAGTCACGGGGCCACTCGTGGGGGAGCTGAGGTCTCCTCCGCGCTGGGACCAGAAACCCCTTTCGTGTCAGCACTGTTCTCCTCCCCACAATTGCACGAGTAGTTTGCTCATCCCACTGGGCCAGAAAAGATTCGTGTGCACCAAGCTTCAAAAGAAAGTACATCAGAGTTTTGGAGTAAGGAAAGGCTTATTGATGAGTAGGTCCAGCTTGTGAAGATGGGAGAACTAATTCTCAAATTCTTTCAGGCATCTTTCTCTGTCAAGGGAAGGGAGGAGGGACGAGGTGAGGGGGTGGCGTATACAGGTAGGCATCAAAGGTGTCCAAGGAAGAGGGCAAAATTTCTATATCCCTATCTACCTGGTGTACCCCTGCTAATTAATCTGAGTCTAGTTCTGAAGTCATTATTTTGTGCATATTTCCCCACCTCTTCTGCTGATAAAGGGGTTCCTCAAGCAGAATTCCTCTAGTTAATTATGTTTGTAGCTGGAGCTGTTAGGCTGAAGGCCATCAGTGGAGAGTGGAAGCATTTCACTGTTAGAGGCTAAGTCCATCAATGGGATTCATCCTTCAGGGAGCTTGGCCAGAAAGCCCAGCCCGCAGGTGGAGGGAAGAAGAGGTACCCAGGTGCCCTGTGTGCTAGGATGCCCCCTTGTGCGGCCCCTAAACCAGGCCTCACACAGTGGGAAAGTTTCAACTGGAAGACCCCTGATCGCTCGGGACCCAAGGAGAAGAGCGGGCGGGGCGGGGTCTTTGCAATTGAAGTCGGCAGCGCCCCAACCTTCTCCATTCTGCCGTGGTGTTTGCTGGTGGCTCACACCCAGTGCGTAGCCTTGGCCTCTGCATCAGTGACAGTGGCTGGTTGGCTGTCACAGCGGCCCTTGGTTGGCCCTTTCCTGCTTTGTAGCGTGCAAGCCTTGCCGTGCTGGGGCCAAGGGACAAGTTGGAGCAGTTGATCTGTTGCGCAATTGTTATTTTTCCCCAGGGCGGCTTTGTCTTTGGATTTAGCGTTTCAGACTTGCAATTCCAAAATGTGTAAGGCAGGATATTCTGTTTTGTGCTGTCAAGGGTAAGAGTTGCGAGTGTAGATTAGAATTTCTGTTGCTTTTAGGCTGTTGCTAAATTTTTGGCTTTCGTATATTATTTTTCTCTTGGGTGTTTTATATAGTTTTCTTTTTCTGTTTGAGGATTTGCGTCAATTTCTTAGCATGCTGTTGCTTTTGTAAGGTCTGAGGAGGGGTCACCTTTGTTTCGTAATGCTTTGCTATAAAGTTCTGTAAATTGTTTAATAAGTGAACTTTCTTGTTCATACTTTGTAGGGACTTATAAAGGAGTATATATATATTTTTTTCTTTTTCTTTTTTGTAACTGGGTACTTAGGGGAAAAAATGGTTCAAGGAAATGTGTAACTTAAGTACAGTATGCTTATGCTCTTAAAACCTAATGTTTTAGACTGATCCTGATGGTCTTAAGTACAGTTATAAGTTATTGACCATGTATTGTAATGCTTTTTTTTCTTTAAAATTGTTCGACTTGAACTTCCCCCCATTAATGGTTGGGATTGTATTCTCTTGGTTCCCACTGGTATGAAAAAGTATGCTTTCAGATTTAGCTGCTGTTTGAATTTAGTTTTCCTAAATTCAGGAATTGTGGCCTGGAACCCTTCAGTCTTTTATTTTTCTCTTTCCTTAGTGTGTAATTTAACATTCTCTATATAGAAGTGCATAAAGCTTAATACTGCTTTCCCATTTAAATGTGACTTTTCTAGTTATGTTTGATAAGGTAATTCCTTTTCCACCTTTGTAATCAGATACCAATTAGCATATTTAAAAACTGAAAAAAGAAAGTGAAGTAAAATTTAGAATCAATTTCATGTCATTGAAATTCAATGGATTCATATATGAAGTCATTGTTGTAGTTGAAGATTTGAACAGAAAGTCAAAGTGGATTGTGACCTTTCATCAAACTCAAGGAACAATGTGGTGTTAGAATATGGCTTTTCGTCCTCTGTGCAGAGGGGTGGTTGATGAACAGGTTGCTAAGGGGAGCCTTATAGATTCTTTATCTCCAATAGGTGGAAGGAACCATCTGTTACTGTTTTCAAGGGTGTCTTAGAGAGATAAAGTACTTTTGCAGGTGAGGGGTGAAAATGATCTTGGACAAGACCGATAAGATTATTTTTAAGAGAAAAATATGACAGGCCTCTCATCTCCTTAATGAATGTTAACCAGAGAACAGCTTGACTTTTTAGATGAGAAAAGTCTCTTGAGAGATTGTGGAAACAGTGTGTAGGAGAATAAATGCATAGCTCGTATCAGTGTTTGTGCATTAAGAATAACTTGGGCCATTTGGAAGTCTCTTTTTTGTTAACTTGGGTTTGTATAAACATTGTTGGAGGAAACAAAATGCTGTCTGCCTTTAGGGTTACCAGTAAGAGTTGGGAGCCAAATACATTATTTTCCTTAATATTTACTTTTTATTCAGGATGAATTATATTTACAGAATGGCACATTCCGAGGAAAAGGAACCCTCTATAAACTGTAAGAACATTTTTCCCCTTGGAGTGTCTTGTCTACTGGCCAAAGGCAATTATTTGAAGGAGTTTTGCATGCATAATATTTCCTCTTTAATTTTTGTTCGATCTGGGATTAAATGTTCAGTACAGACTTGGATGCAGGAGAATTTAGCCCTGAGATAATAATGGATGAGTTGTTGGCCACTTCCTTGCGGGCCAGGCAGTGCAATAATTGCTTCACATGCATAATTTCACAGTAACCCCATAGGAAATACTATTATCACCAGTTTCCAGGTGAGAAAAAAGGCATAGAGAGGCCAAAGTTCCGTTTAAAAGTGATCCAACTATTGAACAGTATGGGTGGGATTCAAATCTAAGTAGTCCGACTCGCATAGTTCTTAATCACTGGTTTCAAACTGGACCAGGATGAGTTAAGCTTTGAAAAGGAGGAAAAGCTCACACTTTTAAGAAAAACTGGGGAAAGAAGAGGCAGGAATTAAAAAGATTAACCTTTTCCACTTGTCAAGAAATTCTAGTTGCTGAGTATGTGAGGGGGGAGGTGGACCTCCTTCCAGAGAGTGAGAGCAAATAAAGCCTTGAGTGGAATTACCACATGTGGGGGGTACTGTCAACAGAAGCCTTTGTTGATCACTGACTCTTGAGAGCCATCATAATCCTTCAACAGCCTGTGTTCTGAAATATTGAACATATACATGCTGGCAATTCTAAGCAGCCATTCCTCTCTCACAAGTTTGGAAATTGAGACTTGGGCACCTGCATTGTCGGCCGTGTGCTCCAGAGACCCAAGCTCCTTTTTTTTTTCAAATTAGAGAAGAAAAATCTCAGATTATTTTGACATTGAAGCCTCCTTCCGAATTTGAGTATTTATTTTCTGCATTAGGCAATTCTCTTTAATGGTCTTTTAAATTCTCTTAATGTTCGTCTCGTCTGTTTATCTTTTTTTTCTCTCGCTACAACTAAATTGTAAGTCCTTTGAGAGCTGGGCATAGAATTTAGGTTTCTCTCTATTTTTTAACAACTTTTGGAGATACCATTCAAATACCATACAGTCCACCCCATTGCAGTGGACAGTTCAGTGACTTAGCACAGTCAGAGCTGTGTGTCCATCACCACACTCGATTTTAGAGCATTTTCGTGACCCTGAAAAGAGCTCGTGCCCACTGCAGTCATTCCACAGCCCTCTCTCAGCTTCCCTAGTCCCTGCTAACCACTCGTGTATTTTCTATCGCTATGAAGTTGTCCATTCTGAATATTTCATGTAATGGGATTGTACCACGTGTGGTTGTATGTGACTGGGTTCTTTCCCTTAACGCAGTGTGTCTGATGTCTGGCCGTGCTGAGGCATGTGTCAGGACTCCATTCCCTTTTGTTGCCGAATGCTCTTTTGTTGTGCAGAGACACAGAAATTTATTTATCCATTCATTAGTTGATGGATATTTGGGTTGTTTCCACTGTATATATTTCTTTTCCTTTTTCCCTATAGCTGTGGTTTGCTGTCTATCAGAGTCACCATCAGTATTTAAAAATACTGCTGCCAAAGCCCTATTTCTCATTAAATCAAACACTGGGGGTGGAACCTGGGCCACAGTAATTTTTTTGAGTTTCTGAAGGGATTCCATTATGCACTCAGGTTTGAGAACCAGTGCCCTAGAGCAGTGCTCCCCAATCTTTGTGGCTGTCACCAGGGACCAGTTTTGTGAAAGACAATTTTTCCATGGACTGTGGGGTTGGGAGGCAAAGCTCAGGCGGTAATGGGAGCAAAGCTTCATTCCCCTGGCCCACTGCTCACTACCTGCTGTGTGGCCCGGTTGCTAACAGGCCTTGGTTCTGGGTTGGCCATGGCCCTGGGGGGTTGGGGACCCCTGTTCTAGAGAACCGAGCTCAGTGCTTGGTAGCCATTGATAACTAGTGACTTAGAAAATCTGGTTAGGATGATGTCTAACTTAAATCATGAAAGGAAGTGTTGTTGTATTTGTTGGA